GGATCACTGACTCTATTACTTATTTCAATTAATAATGGAGTCACCCGAGACTCAGACTCTATCCGTTTTATTTGAGCTGGATAGCTTCTCTCGACTAACCCTGCGAATTGGACTGTAAAGCTCTCAGCAAGAAGACGGTAAAGGCAAAAAGCCGAGAGCTAAAAAGACAAGACTAAAGAAGAGACTAAGAAAAAAGAGAGGCTCAGGACCGCGGAACCGTGGTTTATATAGCGGTTTTTCCTAATTAGTGGGGTTCAAATTTGGGTGGTGGGATGACTTTCGGGATTTTGGATTGGTCGAGATTATATGGGGGAGGAAAGAAGTCGGTTGGTATAACCAAGTGTCATCTTAGTTTATGACTTTCTTAAATTTATGGGAAAATGCACGTGCACCGATTAAGACGAGCGCACGTGCACTGTCGGCACGCGCCCGTCAAACACTTTCCCTGGACTTCGCATGTCACATTTATATTTATGGTCGCGGACATCGTGAGAATCGTCCGCAACTTGCCTGTCAGGAAAATGTTTAGGCGCCAGTACTGACATTAACTGCCGTTTTTAATGGCGCTGTCCAAGGGAAGCGTCATCGGCGGTGCATTAGCTCCCTGCGTTCACCGATTCCAACTCTATTTTATCTGGCATTAATGTAGATACTGGAGTCTTTTTACTTTAAATTTTCTCATGGGAAAAGATTTTTATTACTTTTCTTAGAAGTCCTAGGGGTTGATAACCCCTAGGTCTCCGTGAGAAAAAGAAAAGAGGCAGCGTGAGTCCGCTGGACGTAACACGCCTGTAAAAGCTGTATCATTGCCCAGGCTAGAGTTGTGCGGCGCGGTTCTACTAGCAAAATTAATGACTAAAGTAAAAGTCAGTTTGAATATAAAAGTAAGCCAATATTTTTTCTATTGCGATTCTAAAATAGTTTTGGCATGGATAAAATCGGATTCGCGGAAATGGCAAACTTTTGTGGCAAATAGGGTTAGCGAGATACACGATAATTCTTCACTTTCCGAGTGGCATTATGTAAAGTCACAAGAAAATCCCGCTGATTTAGTCTCCCGGGGGAGGACATCGGAGCAATTAATACAAGAGAAATTATGGTGGAAAGGACCTGATTGGCTAAAAATAAACAGTAAGGCCTGGCCTGAAGAAAGTGAGGAGTTGTCGTCTAAGGACGTTCCTGAAGGACGTAAACAAGCAGTGATAGCGATAGCTGTAAAGAAAGAAACAATTATAGACTGTCAAAGATACTCGACGTTAAATAAGTTATTGCACGTGGTGCAGCTTATGTATTAAGATTTATTTACAACGTAAAGATTAGGTACGAACAGCGCAAGACAGGAATCATTTCGATCTCGGAAACAAATGAAGCAAAATTAGCAATAGTACGAATAGTACAAGCGGAAGAGTTTAAAGAAGAATTAGGTTCCTTAAAGTAACAAGGTGTCAATAAAATCAAAAATGAATGCTCTACATCCGTTCCTGGATCAAAATGGAATAATACGAGTAGGAGAAAGGTTGAGACACGCAGGGCTGCCTGAAGAAACAAAACATCCAATCGTGATTCCATCCTCACATCATTTCACCAAATTGATAATAATATATTATCATGAAAGGCTGTTTCATGCAGGTGCTCAAACAACACTAAACACCATTCGTGAAGAATTTTGCCCTATATCAGCAAGGAGTAGGATTAAGGAAATCTTACATAAATGTATAAGGTGTCGTAAAGCAAACCCAAGGGCTAGCTGGCAAATCATGGGACAGCTACCTTCGGTTCGAGTCAACATCAGCCGACCCTTTACAAATAGCGGAGTCGATTATTGTGGTCCATTTTATGTACGGGACCGTATTCGTCGTAATGCAAAGCACCACAAGGCTTATGCAGCCATCTTCGTGTGTATGGTAACAAAGGCTGTACATATAGAGTTAGTGGAAGATTTGACTGCGGAGTCATTTATCGCTGCCTTGAAGAGGTTTGTAGCGCGAAGAGGAAAAGTGAGTAACTTATATTCGGACAACGGCAGGAATTTCGTTGGAGCAGAACGCATATTGAAACAAACGTGGGAAAAAGAAGATTTCAAGGAGTGCATTCAAAGGTTCGCGACTGCGGAAAAAATGAATTGGCATTTTATACCAGCAAGGTCTCCGCATTTTGGTGGCATCTGGGAAGCAGCGGTGCGCTCTATGAAATTACATCTCAAACGTACAATCGGCGAAACATCCTTCACGATAGCCGAAATGACAACTATCTTACCTCAAATTGAGGCTGTACTCAACTCCAGACCGTTAACACCAGTGTCAGACGATCCGAACGATATGAGAGCTTTAACCCCAGGACATTTTTTAATTGGGGAAAATTTACAAGGATATACGGAGCAAGAATTGAAGGGAGTACCGGATAACAGACTATCAAGATGGCAACGCGTAGAGCAAGTGCGACAACATCTGTGGTCCAGATGGCAGAAGGAGTACTTAAACACTTGTCAGCAACGAGGCAAATGGAAAACGGACTCTAAAGAAACGTACCAAGTTGGACAACTTGTCATGGTAAAGGATGCTCAAAGCATGCCTTTAAGGTGGACACTAGCGAGAATTATGGAGGTACATCCTGGAACGGATGATAGAGTAAGAGTTGTCACCTTGCTCACAGAAAAGGGCGTTTATAAAAGAGCGATAACAAATATTGCGCCTTTATTAGAATAGTGTAAGTAGCTTAGTGTAAGTTTATTTCGTTTCCTTGTTTTGTAATGTATTCTTTATTAATATAGTGATATGTGCTTAGGTTAGACTTATTAGAGCTTCAATAAGACATATTTTGTTCATTACTACTATTTGAAAATATTTGTTATATTTGTCAAGGCGGGCGGCATGTCAGAATCTATGTTTGGTTGTTGGCATCGGTCAAAGTAAGTGTAGGGTGGCGCTAGTGACATGCATCTAGTGTTATTTTAGTTTATGAGAGTTATTGGTAGACACACGGTGTCTTCGTGAACGCTTGAGATAATTCAGCCATATTACCTTGTATCAAGAAATAAAAAATATTCAG